CGTGTTGGGCTAAATTATAAGCAATCAACCCTAAGTAGGAGTCTTATGACATTTTTAATTGGGTCATTATTAGTTTTATTATTTTAATTAATTTTTATTGTTTTTATATGAAATTAAAATGGTTTGTTTTATTACTTTTTTTAATTTTTATTATTAATTTAATTATCCTTTTAGTATTAGTTATTTTTAAATAGAATTCAATTGTATTTTAAATTTTAATTTATGAACTACTAGTTTTTAGTAATTTCTTAATTTTTAATAGTTGGTAGATAAAAAACTTGTTAAAATTTAATATTTTTATTAACTTTTGTAATTTTTTATTAATTTTAGTTATTAGGTTTCAAATATAATTTTCTAAGAATTAACCAATTAATTAGAATCTGACTATGAAACAAATACATAGAATTTGGGTGAGAGTAAAACTCTCTCCCTCTCTCTCTCATGAAATACGCTAATAATGGAAGAAGTTAYAGAAATGTGGTAAAATATGCTAAGAATGGAAGATTCCTAYAGAAATAAATGGAATTCTYTCTCTCTCTCTCTCAGTATTTTTAGGTGATTTAACTATTTATGATATTTTAGTAACTAATTTTTAAACAGATATTTCTTTATAGGCTAGACCTGCACCGATCTTAATGTATTGGGCCCAAGCTTGGCCCTGAAATTTGTAGGTTTGATGTAGGCCTAGGCAGATGCCGGATTGAAATGATCACTCATAAGCAAATTGTTTTTCGTTTATTAGATTATTGAGAGGAGAGAGTATAAAATAAAAAGAAAAAGAGTCAATGAATTTTAATCAATTTAGTGGAGCAATTAAGAAAATGGAGAATTAGTGGAGTAAGTTGTTTGAGGAGAGAGAGTTAATGGAATGATTAATGAGGAGAGATAATCAAAGGAGTTGATGGTAAAGAGAAGAAAGATAGTTAATGGTGAGTAAAAGAGTTAAAGTTGATTGGTTACTTGAGTTATTTTGTTCGAGGAGAGAGAGAGAGAGAATGGAATGATTAATGAGGAGAGATAATCAAAGGAATTGATGATAAAGAGAAAGAGAGCTAATGATGAATTAATGAGGAGATGTAAAAGTGTTAAAGACTTAAAGTCGATTGGTTAATTGAGTTATTTTGTACATTTTTTAAAATAAAAATTAAAAAACACAAAATAGATAAATGGTAGGGGATGGAGAGGCTTTCTCACATGGCAGAACCAACTTTTATATATAGATATAGATGTGTTGGTGGGGCTCATACCAATTTATTCATGTGTTCATGTAACTGAACCCCACACACCATTTTTCTTTATGAACCGTACAACACTCTATATGGCACATGTATTAACTCATGAAAATAAATACTTAGGCAGCATTTGGCAAGTCTTTTCATGTGGTTTTCAGTAAGTTTAGAAGATCGAAAATTGGTCTTTCTCCATTTGGTAACCAAAAGCTAATAAGACCCAAAGAATGGGAGAATCCATAGATATGAACCACCAAGTTGCAATAAATGTTTTCTCAGCTAGTCAAGATCGAAAGTTCACCAAAAATGGTCCCATGCGTGGTGTCACTGGCCCAAGGAAAGGGTAAATAGAGAGGACAAGCGAGAGATAACAAAGAGGAAGGCAATGATTTATGAGTCTCATAACCAATAAATTTGAATCCCTTTAGTGGTAAGGATGGAAATTTCTACCATACCTGGTGGGTATCCACCCTAGTAAATTTGGGATTCTACAAC